AGAAAGTGTGCTTTTCCCTTCCCCTGACCTCCCACTTGGGAGCCCAGTGAAGAGGTGGCAAATAAGGTAGGACTGATTCCCGTGCAAGTCTATCTACTGGTGAAATGTCTATGGAGCCTGTCTTGAATGAGTAAGAGCTTCTCACAACTTTAAAACACAAGGCATCCACATCTGCATCTCTATGCTTTCCTCTCCCTGCTCCCCCCTTCCTACAAAAGCCAGCAGGGTTACTCACTTCTACCCTTCCAAGTCCCCCCCGACACACACACACACACACACACAGGCTGCCAGGGAGCCTGTTCTCCCTTATCCCATCTATCCTAACTTCCCTGGTTTTGATTATATCTCTAAGCATCCACCAACCCTTCTGCCTTGCAGCCGCTGGGTGAGTGCGTGCGCACACATACACACACACACAAGCACACACAGTCACAGTCAGTGGGACCTCCTATTACAGACAATGGGGACAAAGAAACCATTTGTGAGAGGTGACACAGAGTTATGGAACCAGAAAACATCAGGCACCTTTGAGATAATCACTGTTTGACCCAGCTCCCTGATACTGGGATCAGAGAGGGTAAGTGACTTATCCTGAGCCAAACAGCATGATAAGGCAGAACGGAGAAAGGAAAACTCTTTCCACATGTCACTGCCCACCTGCCCAGCTCTCTGGCTGAGCCAGTGGCAGAGGCAAAATAAAGCATTTCTGGGCTTGGTGGGTGCCGTGGGGATGCCAGGCCCAGGACCTGCAGGGACTGGTGAGCAGAGCGCTGGGTCGGACATAGAGTGCAGCGGTCAGCGTGCGCCCCTGCGTGTGTGACCTGAGCTTTTACTTGGGCATCACGTGCCAGGCCCGGAGCTGTACGCTTCTCTTCTCTGGTTGTGAATCCAGGCCTGTCTGTGGGGAGGCCATCTGCCATCTCCTCCAAGGGAGCGGAGTGGGTTCAAGTTTTGGTGCAGAATTCTTTGAGAGGGCAGGGAGTGGGGGCCCAAGGAGAAGGAAATCTTCATTTAAATGCAGATACAGGCTTCTCACCTGGGACTGAAGAAAGTTTTTCCATTAAAATGCTAATGAAAGAACACACTGCAACTCCAAATCCTTAGCCACCAGCCCCCTTGCCAATTGGACTCAATCGCTGACCAATCTTTGTCCCCCCACTCCCGTCCCCCCCACACACACCTCCTTTCCCTGGGGCCCTCAGATCCCATTGCTCAGGCCCTGGGCTCTTTGGGCTGAGTCTGAGAGGTCTGTGGAAGGGGCAGATCACCTTCTGAAAGCAAATGAGCTTGGAGACGGAGCGGGGGTGGAGAACTGGAGCTCTGGAATCATCAGACAGGTCTCAGTTGTGCCACCTTTCAGCTGTGGGACCTTGGAAACTGTCCCTAACATCTCTGAATCTCTTCTGTGAGATGGGTAGTAATCCACATCTTGTAGCATTGATTGAGTGATCAAATTATTTATATGTATTTAATATATTTAATTATTTATAGATATGAAACTATAAAGCCTGTCACTTAAAAAAATCAGTACATAGCAGCTATTTTTAATAGTATTACTATTATTAATATAGAGATGCAAACTCCAGGGGCCAGACATTGCCTATCCACACAAGTGTAAAGAAACTGTGCAGGCTCTCTGGGAGGCCACCCTGTACGGATTCCAGAAGGTGGCCCGGTCGTGGGAGCTGCCTCAGGCCTGTGCAGAGCCTCTGCAGCCCGTCCCAGTTGTGTCTCAGGCCAGATCCTCTCCTACACAGACGCTGACTCTCTCAGACCTGAAGCCCAGCCAGGGGCCCAGGTCCGGAGGCACCCAGGTGACCATCACGGGCACCAACCTGAACGCGGGCAGCAATGTGGTGGTGCTGTTCGGGAAGCAGCCGTGCCTCTTCCACAGGTAAGCACAGGGCAGACTGTGGGGTGCGCAGCGGGCAGCAGGCTTCCTCAGGCTAACCTCTGGCACGGCCGCCACCTCCCTGGAAAGTGGCGCTCCCTTAGGGACAGGGCTTTCCGGGCACACCTGGCTGTGGATGTTTGGCTCAGTCTGGAAACCTGCCAGCCACCCTACCCCTGGATAGGCCCTTGTGCTGTTGCCCACCATTTCACCTTGGTGCCCCATACCGCCCCCTGGCAGGACCCTGGGGTTCCACAGGACACGATTTGGAATCTCCAGTCCCTTCCCTGGGGCTAGCTTCTCAGGGGCTGCGGGCTGCGGCAGAACCAGTGGGGACTGCTGAGAGCTGGCAGGGCAGCTACCCCAGCTCGCTCCACTGTGTCTCCAAACACAGCCGGCTTTCTCTCCCCTGGTCCCACCACCCAGTCCCAGAAGGGCCTGCCTTTCATGAGCCAGCAGCCTAGGGGCCAGGGAGGCGGTAGGTGTGTCTAGTGAAGGACTCTATGAGATGTGGCAGCAGGCCGGCCCCCCGCAGGGGAGAGGTTCTGCAGAGAGAGGTTTTCCCAGGACAGAGCTTTGCTCAGGGCCCTGACAGACCCGGCCAGGCCTGGCCAGGCCTTGATGAGTGATGTTAATGAAAAGCGCATTGTGACGCTTGTTGGCCTGGTGAAGCCAGTTCACGGAGGGCTGTTGCAGCAGGTGTCAAGCTGTCACAACAGAGGAGAGAGATGGGGCTCAGCTCCCCACACAGCAGAGACAGCTGGGCATTTACACCCAACAGCAGGGGGAGGATGATCCAAACTAAACCAACATAACAGGATTTTTGCTGAAGGCTGGCCAGTGATCAGATATCAGGGGTGAAGGATGAGAAATTTGATCAGATGGATAGCAAGGGTTGGGGGATTCTTGCTAAACTGAGCAGGATTCTCTCCAAGAGTGGGGCTAGGCAGGCAGGCTAGAAGACAAGGCCCAAGGACGAGGCCTAGGCAGAAAGAGGGCTCAGGAGAGCCTGTCTTTGTCAGTCGTTCCCAGAGGTTTATGTCTGAGGCAGGGCTCACCATTGCCTCTGAGGAGCCTGACAAATGGGTCTGGAGGTGAGAGGGCCCTGAACCGGGACCACCTCCCTTCCTGGAGCCCAGGAGCCCAGCTCCATGTTTTCCCTCCCTCCAGGCGCTCTTCGTCCTACATCGTCTGCAACACCACATCCTCGGAGGAGGTGCTGGCGATGGAAGTGATGGTGCAGGTGGACAGGGCCAAGATCCACCAGGACCTGGTCTTCCAGTACATGGAGGACCCCACCATCGTGCGGATTGAGCCGGAGTGGAGCATCGTCAGGTAGACGCTGCCCAACCTCGCTTTCCTTCCTCAACTCTCAAGCACCAAAGAGAGTTCTGAGGACCGAGTCCTGGTTTGGGGACTGATGAACTGGAGTTGGCTCCCTCCTTTCCCTGAGGGCACCTCTATGCAGGACCTGGTGGCCAGGCTCTGACCAGCAAGAGCTCATGGCCTCTCATTTGAGGATGGGTGGTGCACCTGGAGGCCATGTTCCCATCTCACAGTGACTGTCCGGGGGAGGTGTCAGTCCTACTCCTTAAACCTCGCTTCTGGCAAATATGGACAGTGATTCAAGTCCTGCTGAGGAGCGCGGGAGGAGGAGAAAGGTCCGACCCAGCTTCTTCTTGGCCTGCTCTGGAAGGGAAGCACACCCCGACCTCCAGGGTTTGGTGAGGAGGTCCATCCTCTGCTTCTGCAGCCTCCTGTGTCTCAGCACCCATGACCTCTAGTTGCCCGCTGGCTTTGTCCTTCCCTCTGCTGCACACTCACTCCTCCAGGGCAGGGACCCAGTCTTGATCCCCGCGCTTTCCCCGTGCTTCACAGGAGCACAAAGAACATGTTTCTTAGACCAGGGAGCCAGGCATGATGGTGCTACAGAAAGACCCTCCGGTGCCATCTCTTGCTCAGCCAGTCACAAGCTGACTTGGGTCGGTTGCATCATTTCCCAAGGTCTCCATCTCTTGCATGACTCACCTGGGACTTGGGAAACCCCAGGACCTGGGTTCCTTTGAGTCTTGGCTTGGTGGTGCTTGGAGTGGGGATTAGCACCACAGGAAGGAACCTCAGGCAGGCAGCATGGGTCTGCTTTGCCAGGCACTGCAAGAGGGCATCCCGACCACAAGGCCCCTGATGATAGTGGGGAAATGGCTGTACCAGGGGCCATGTGGGGAATGGAACAGGGCTTGGGTCAGAAGGAGTGAGCTCAGCCCAGCTCCACTGCTTACCACCAAGTGACCCTAGGAGTCACTTAGTGCCCTTCTGAGGGCGGTTGAGTGGATTAAGGGGTGCAGATGCACAGTATGCTGCCTGGCTCAGCTCCCTCTTCCTCCCTGGCCCTTGGTCCTCGGCCCTCCCACTGTCTGCCGTGGGTCAGGGGGGAGTGGCAGGCATGAAGATGTGGTCTCCACAAGCTGAGGCAGGAGCCAGAGACCAGTTCAGTCCAGAGAACAATCCTTGAAACCAGGAGTTAGCAAACTCCAGCATGGAAGCCAAATCTGGCTGTCCATCTGCTTTTGAAATAAAGTTTTATTGGAACACAGCCATGCTCATTTGTATATGTTTTGTCTATAGCTGCTTTCTCGCCACAACAGAGCTGAGGAACTGTGGCAGACCACACGGCCTGGGAAGCCAGCAGTATTTAGTCTCTGGCCCTTTACGGAAAGAGTTTGCCATCCCCAGCCTTACACCCAAGGAAAGGCAGCATTTCTGATATGAGACTTGGTTGTCCTCACCAGTTTACTCCCTAAGGACCAAACCTAATAAGTTTTAGCCGTGATCTCAAAGCCCATGAAGCCTAAAGGCACGGAGAGGGGACATAGCCTGTAAAAAGCGACTCCAGGGTTTGCTCCCGGGGCCTGGTGAGTTGGGGAAGTGGGCATAGACAAACTCGGCAACTCCCCGAGGAATTCTCAGCCTGGTTTAATTCAGTGCTTCCTCCTGTCACCGTCACAGAAACAGGTGCCATCCTTCCTGCTGTCATCAATGGGGGCATGGAGCAGGGTCCTGCGTCCACCAGCAGCTCCAGGGTTTGGCTGCAGTTAAAGCCCACGCTGCGATGGGCTCTGCAGACTTCCTGCCTCTGCACTGCTTCCATCCTGGGCTACTGAGGAGCAGTGATTGGGGACTTTGGATAAATGTGTTTTGAATCGATTGAGAAGATCAGGAGATGGCTGGATATCAGAAGCTCAAACACTGCCCTGGGTTTCATGGGAATCTTCCTGCACGTGTGTGTGTGTGTGTGTGTGCGCGCGCGCGCGCGTGCACAGGCGTATGTGTGAGTGAGTGTTGGGGAGGCAGGTGGAGGCGAGAGAAAGAGAGGAAGAAACTGGGAGAGCAAAGGAGGGCCGGAGGCTAGAGGGTAGAAAGGAATGGTGTCCAGGATTCTGTACCCACCACGCTTATAACTACTCAACCATTGTAGGTAGTAGGATTCTTCTTGAAGATACTCCCTTGGTTGTGGGAAAGCTGATTCCTCCCTTTCCTGTGAGTTGTCCCCAAAGAAGATAGCCCCTCCCCATGTCACCTTCTTAGCCACCCAAAAGGAGGACACTGGCACCCAGGCTGCCTTCGAACCTCCTGCCCCCCCACTCATCCTCCTCCTCTGGCAGACACCCGGGTGTGGGAGACTGAGTCCGGAGCATGTCACCTTTGCATTCTGGGAGGGGGCTCCTGAGTGACTGCGCCTCTGCCTTCCCCAGGTCTAAGCCGGCTGCAGTCTCTGCGGTAGAAATTCGCACTATGGTTGCCCTGGGAGGGAGGCTGTGCTCAGGCCCTGGAGGGCCTGGTGGCGACAGTCTGGTCCACTAGGCCAAGGGCACTGTGAAGAATTTTCTGAGACTGGTGAAAGCTGGAGGAGGAGACCACAGGGGCTGCAGAGAAGCAGCTGGCTGGAGGCCGGAGGCCTCAGGAAGCCAACAGGTCCGAGCGGCAGACCCGGCCTCCACAGGGTGTCCGTGCTCCGAATGAGCTCAGCGCAGGATGGCTACGGACATCTGGTCATCACTGTCTTTGCCTTGGCTGCCGAGAGCTCCTCCTCGTTATTATGCAGTCAGCTCGTCAGCCTTGTCCCCATGAACATTGTCATGCCGACTGGCTACCGTTGTCTTTAATGTCGAAGCGCAGCCAGAGTGGCTATATCATAGTCGTGCCTGAGTGCCATTGCTGCTCCTGTCCCTGTCTCACACCCTCCTTCTCTCTTCCCGGGCAGTGGGAACACACCCATCACCGTGTGGGGGACTCACCTGAACCTCATCCAGAACCCCCAGATCCGTGCCAAGCACGGAGGGAAGGAGCACATCAATGTGAGTCTGGGGTTGGCAGGGCTCACGGGGGCTGTCCACCCAGCATGTCACCTCCCTACAGGGTGTGGGGCTCCCCGAGGACTCAGAGAGGCCCACCCCGGACACTGATGACCCATTTTGTGTGATACCCCTGAGCAAGATGAGGGCATTTTCACACCTTGGGATACAGGCAGGGAGGGCCAGTGGCTTCTAGGGTATATGGAGCTTTATACGCACTTTCCTCCAGCCTTCTGACCCCACAGTTCTGCTCACTAGCTTAGAGATGCCCTAGTCACTGCCATACTCACCACGGGCAACGTGGAGCAAGGTGCCAGCTGTAGAACATATTCCCTGAGCACCTAGGCCAGCCGTGGGCAAACTACGGCCCGCAGGCCTGATCCGGCCTGTTTGAAATGAATAAAAATATTGAAAAAAAAGACCGTACCCTTTTATGTAATGATGTTTACTTTGAATTTATATTAGTTCACACAAACACTCCATCCATGCTTTTGTTCCGGCCCTCCGGTCCAGTTTAAGAACCCATTGTGACCCTGGAGTCAAAAAGTTTGCCCACCCCTGACCTAGGCTGTGTGTTTCTGGCTGCAAAGGATTCTGACTCAGGCATAACTGTCCGTGTCAACCCCCTGCCGCATGGCAGCATCTCAGGTGGCCTGGTGGGTGCGGACTGCCGTGCGTGTGCAGATAAAATGCATGCAGATGCGTGGCTGAGTCTCCCTGCCTGCTCCTCCACAGCTCTGTGAGGTTCTGAACGCCACCGAGATGACCTGCCAGGCTCCGGCCCTCGCTCTGGGGCCGGACCACCAGTCTGACCTCACCGAGCGGCCTGAGGAGTTCGGCTTCATCCTGGACAACGTCCAGTCCCTGCTCATCCTCAACAAGACCAACTTCACCTACTATCCCAATCCTGTCTTCGAGGCCTTTGGTCCCTCGGGAATCCTGGAGCTCAAGCCTGGCACCCCCATCATCCTGAAGGTAGACTGAGGCCGGAGGCCGGGGGGTGGGAAGAAAGGTGGCCGCTGCCAAGGAGAGAGGCCAGAAGCCTCGGGCTCCTGCCAAATTCTGTGACTGGAGTCCCTCGCTCAGACTGTGTTATAGCTCAGAGTATGCGAATACTCACTCTGAGTTTGTGCTGAGTGACTCACCCCCCTCACAGGCCATGGAGACCTGGTCAGGGCAGCCAGACCCACGCTGGCCATTGGACTCCCGAGCTTTGTCAGATGCTGGGAGGTCAAAGGTTCAGAGTGATTCCTCCTGTGCAGCCTTTTGAGAACCACAACATAGGGTTTCTTTGGAGCATGGATAGCGACTTTTCATTTTAACTGCTATGGCAATTTGAATCCACTGGTAGTGACTGACAATGGCTCTGGGTTGAGAAGCATTCTGAGGCTGCATTTGGGATAAGCTGAAAAGAGCACCCTGATTATTGCTGTCCGACTGAGAAAGGGGTGATGGTAGCGTACAGGCCACAGTTTCTGTGGACTTACTTCACCAGCTCACCGGCAGGTGGGAGACTCCGGCGGGAGGACAGGCAGCCAGCAGTGGCTGTGGCTCTGACTCTGGGGTGGGAACTGGGTTTCCTGTCCATCCAGGGCAAGAACCTGATCCCCCCAGTAGCTGGGGGCAACGTGAAGCTGAACTATACCGTGCTGGTCGGGGAGAAGCCGTGTGCCGTGACGGTGTCTGACGTGCAGCTGCTCTGCGAGTCGCCCAACCTCATCGGCAGGCACAAAGTGATGGTGAGGCGCGGGCCCTGTCTGTCCCGAGTAGACGGGGGGCATAGGGACTGGGATGTGAGCGGCCCAGCTCCACCCTGGGCCCCCAGTAATCCCGGGAGGGGATCCTGGCCGGTTTCAACTTTCCTCCAACCTCCCCACAGCCTATTCCCGCCCTGTCTTTCTTCGGAGTTCTTTTTCCTGTACTGTCGTTCCTTCCATACTGGCTGGTGCCACAATGAGAGCAATGCAGGTCACTTTAAATGATGCGTTAAATCGCTCGTTATGAGCAGGAGACTCTTCCAGAAAAGGACCCCTGTTGGCCTGGGGAGGTCCCCGATATCATGTCTGTGCCACAGTCACCCATCCTTACAATGGGATGAGTGACGGGAACCAGTAATTGATGTCATCATGTCACACCATTTAGATCCCAGTTGTGTGCCATTTCCTTTGAAGATGCCCGTGTTGTCTCCTGGATAAGAGGATGAATTTTCCCCCTATAGAGGTGCCCGTGCTAGCTATGCAGACCCCCTCGCCCAGCCCCAAATGCCCTCTCGGCTATTTTTACAACCAAAGATGCTGCTGCTCCCCGGAGCCATTTCCCTCGTGCCACCCTGGTCACCAGTGCACCGGTGACTCGGGGCTGGGCCCTAGGATGCTCTGTCCCCGCGCCCAGCTCCATCTCGCCCACTCTGCCCCCAGGCCCGCGTTGGCGGCATGGAGTACTCCCCGGGGATGGTGTACATCGCCCCGGACAGCCCGCTCAGTTTGCCCGCCATCGTCAGCATCGCCGTGGCGGGTGGCCTCCTCATCATCTTCATCGTGGCCGTGCTCATCGCCTACAAACGCAAGTCCCGCGAAAGCGACCTCACGCTGAAGCGGCTGCAGATGCAAATGGACAACCTGGAGTCCCGCGTGGCCCTGGAGTGCAAAGAAGGTATTGAGTGGCCAGGTGGCTGCGGCTCCACGCTGGAGGCTGGGTGGGCATGCGCATGCATGTGTGTGCGTGTGTAGGTGGGTGGCTCACACATAAGCGGTGGGCTGGGCAGCAGTGGGCAGTGCTGGGGGCTGGGTGTCCACCTGCAGAACTTGAATTCTGATCAATGAGCCTATGCCCGGACCAATCCCATATCCTAGCCAGTCCCACTGGGGCAAGGCCAGCTAAGCTAACGCCTCCTGCCCCTCTTCCTCAAGATGTCCCCTGCCTTTTCCCCCAAGTCAAACTGGGATCATTTCAAATCCCACTAGAGCAGTTTCCAGCCCAGAATCCTGGCCCGTGGGTTTTGTGCTCCCCTCTCGGGGGGCCTTGACGGAACACATTCCAGCAAACTTCAGCTGTCTTCCTGAGGAAGGTCGGGCTGCAGGGCTCATCTGAGACTTAGAAGGAAGAGTTTCACAGCTTGTATTTTAAAAAGTTACCAATGCGCCATGAACTGAATCCAACTGCACTAAATCTCAGAAGGAAATTAAGGAGTCAGACTCTTGTCACCCCTAGGATATCATTCTGTGAGTCACCCGGGAGGGGTGAGTGGCTCCTTGCTGTAGGTTTACACATGGAGTAAATGCGGCCTCTACCTGGGGCTCTCTGATGGGAGGAGGGTCCACTCCATCCCCTCTCTACATCCTTTTGCTGTCAACGCACATCTGCCTTGTGGGACTGTTAATTACTGCCTTTTATTATATTTACGCTGCTTAATTTTTTTCTCTGCAATGTACTCTTTCCTCTAATTAGGAGTAGTGATTAGAATCTCTTTTATGTGTGGCAGGCGTGAGGCTTTGAGTGTTGGAGGTACTTGGTGACTTGAAGAGAAGCTGCAGACTGATAAAAAGCCAGCTCCCTCCCTCTCCTCCTCACCAGATGAGCACCCCAACAGGGAGGGGCGCCAAGGGCAGGGTGAAGCCAGGTTCCTCTCTGAGAATGTTCCAGAGGAGGAGGAATTAGCATCAGACAGGGAGGCCAGCTGAGCATCAGCGGGGGTGCCCTAGCCTGTGTTCAGGGGAGAGCCATTCCATGTGGGCAGGGAGAGAGGACTAGAGTAGTATGGAGGGTTCACCTGAAGTACTTTCCAGGGGTGCCCAGGGCTGATTCTGGAATGTTTGCAGGGCAGGTTGGGTCCAGGAAGGTGACTTCCTGAAGACTTGACAATGAGCTAGGACATCACCTGCACACACACTTCTGACAGTGAGCCAGGACAGCACCTACACACACACTCAGAGGAGGCTTGGCCTGGACCCATCACAGGCCTTACCTTCTGATATAACACACACACACACACACACACACACACACACACACACACATTAAATAAATAAATAAAATAGCACAGGGGTTTTTGACATTCGCACTCAGATGACCACTCATGCACTCTCACCCATACACTCAAGCACACACACTCACACTCATGCTCATGTGTGCATTTCCATGTACTCCCACAAGTGCACATGCATGTTCTTCACTCAGGACATACATGAGTGTTCATTGGGACTTTGGTGACAATACTTGCCAAAAAGGCTCACTGACTCCCCTTCACAGCCACATGTGCACACACATTGTTGTCAGTTTTGCTTGGATGCATTAGGGTTGCTCTGCTTCAGAGTCACTTCGCTGGACAAGGACCCCCTGTGTCCATGTGACCAGAGCAGAGGTGCAGGAAGAGAGCAGCACAGGGGCCTCTCCATGGTCCCAGTGGCATCCCCGTTGTCTGTCAGACAGGGAGCATTGGTGTCCTCACGCCCCAAACCTCAAGCTCCACAGGCCTGCAGTCAGCACGGCAGGAGGCGGTGGGGTCCAGGGCCCAGGGCAGCATGTTGTGTTCCTGGGGTCACCAGAGCCCACTGGACACAGGGCTTGCTTTTCCAGGGCAGGGCTTATGAATCTCTTTTGAGTCCATCAAGTAGTTGCACCTATTCTTGTGTTTGTATAAAGAGAAAGAAATATTGTTTAGTCAACATCCACTGGCCGTTCTTCTTTGTTAGCATGTGTTAATCCATTCTGGAGTGTGCACACATGTGTGCATGCATGATTACATGTGTATTTGTGTGTGCGTGCAAGCATGTGTGTATGTGTGTGCATGCATGTGCTGAGGAGAAAGGCAAAGCAGGGAAAAGCTGGGTACATTACCTCTGACTTCCTCAGGTGGCAGAGGGCGGCCCAGGAGATGGGCTCTGCCCAGGGCAGGGTGCGGTCACAGCTTTGAGGCTGTGTAAAACCTCAGCCTGTGTGCTGGCCTTGCCCTGGGCTAGAGGGCTCTTGCAGCTCCGTGACTATCTGGAGACCTGAGTTGCCTCCACAGACAGCAGTGCCCACACAGCTCATACTTCACCAATGAGTAGCATCACCTTGTGGAGGGGAGGACAGAGACCCACCCTGCGCATTTATACGGAAGGAATATCTTAGGATGGCAGAGCCCCATCTGGCCTCATTTGGTGGTTTGATGGCTCCAGTGACCTGCTTGGCCCAGAACTGGGACTCAGAAGAAATTGTCCTTAACTCTTACAAGGACTATCAAACACAGAATCAGAAATAGAAACTCCTCCTCACCTCTCCCCCACCCACCATGCTTCTATGGTCCCTGGCCCCACGCACATTTTTTAATTATCATATGAGGATCTGTTTCCATTGATTTTTAGGGGGAGTGGAAGAGAGAGGGAAAGACAGAGAGAAATATCGATGTGAAAGAAAGACATTGATTGGTTGCCTCCTGCATGAGCCCCGACCAAGGCCCGGGCCAGGGAGGAGCCTACAACTGAGGTACATGCCCTTGACCAGAATCAAACCCAGGACCCTTTGGTCCACAGGCCGATGCTCTATCCACTGAGCCAAACTGGCTAAGGCCCCATGCACATTTTGCAAACCAAAGCCCTCTTCCTCAGATGGGGAGGTGCTCCTGGCCCAGCAGCAGCACAGATCTGTGGGTGGCCTGCCCCTCATCCATGCTTTGGAAGGAATTTGGCCCAAGACAAGCTTCCTTGGGCTGCACATTTCTTCCATGCCTTTGTAGCTCACCTCAGCTACTTAAATGAAAATGTCCCCTTTTCTTATTCCTGCATGTCTGAGGCCCATTGCTCATGTCCCCTGGGGCCTGAGTGAGGGCTCTGGGTGCCCTGAGTTGGGAGTAACTCTTGGGCCTGCCCCACCCAGAAGTCTCACCGGCTTCTCCTTGTGGCAGCCTTTGCTGAGCTGCAGACAGACATCCATGAGTTGACCAGTGACCTGGATGGAGCTGGGATTCCCTTCCTGGACTATAGAACCTACACCATGCGGGTGCTGTTCCCGGGAATTGAAGACCATCCTGTCCTCCGGGACCTTGAGGTGAGAAGCCGTACCCATGCCCAAGGCCTTCCCCATCACGGTATCAGCACAGAGAAAGGTGTTGGTGACCTTCAAGCCTAGCTGCCTATCCAGAGGTGAGAAAGCTGAGGTCAGGGAGGGGATGCAAGTTGCCCAGGATCCCAGTTGTCGGCGCCTGCCAGTCCCTCTGGAGGCAGTGGGGCTGAGCCAGGAAACCTCAGAGCAGAGATGGGAGTAGGGCTTTGGGACTTAGGGGTCATGCATTCCTTTAGAATTGAATGCAAGTCCCTTTCCTCAGAAAAAAACTGTACATATTCACAGAAATAAGAAATCTGGCAAACAAATGTTGGGAGTTCATGGACCCTTATTTAAGAAACTGTGATATGATATGATGATTTCACCACTTAGTTGCTGCTCAATAAATCTGTGTGGAAAGATAAGTGACGCACTGGGAAGGGAAGCGGAAAGTGAACGATAAAAACCTAACTCTCTTTTGTACCGGCAGGGACCCCATTGTTTGAACACTTTATCCCTCTTCCTGTCTAGCATAGGATCTGGCTTATACATATATTCATATTACCCTTTGTTCTGAAAGGGATTTGGAATAAATTATAAATATAAGTACCGGAGAAAAGTGAAAAATATAAACAAGGAAACCAGGGCAAAACAATAACCATAAGGAACAATCACTACTAGTTGACTGCTGACGGGTCCAGTTTTAAATACTTTACCTGCATGCATTCGTTTAGCCACCCAAGAGCCCTCTGAAGTAGGCATGCTCCTAATACAGGCGACAAAACTGAAAGCACGGGTCACTTTGGGAGCGAGCGGGCCAGGGTTTGAGTCCAGGCGATGAGACGTCTGAGCCGGCCCTCCGACAGCAAGCCCGCACACCTGACTCCCGAGGTGCTCCATCAGTATCATGCCTCATGGCTCTGGATACTTATTAGGATGGATGGCAGGTTGTGGCCGAAGCAACAACAGAAAATAAGACTAGTTCCGAGATTTATATTGTCCATAAAATAAAACAGGCCCATCACTCGGGAGTTGAGCACTTTCCCAGGTACTGACCAGAGGGAATGTCTACAGGATTCTGCAAAAGGATGGAGAGGCTGGGCCCGTTATAAATCACACATGCCCTTCTATGGCCTTAGTCCTCATCTGGATTCTTAACATTTCCCCTTAAGCCTAAATATTCTCAAGTTCCCTTGCCTTTCTCACGAGGGAAGACTCTCTGATCCCAGCCTCAGCTCACAAAGGAGTGAGCAGCCAGGTTTACCAATGTCCCTGAGTGGGAGCCCACGAAATAGCTAATTGCTAGGCACAGGCTCCGAATCTAGCAGGTTACACAGCTTTGTTTTTCCATTGTAGTAAAATAAACATAAATTTTCGACCATTTTTAGGTGTCCAATGTGGAGGCACTAAGCACATTCACACTGTTGTGCAACCATCACCACCGTCAGCTCCAGAACCTTTGCATCTTCCCCAGGAAACCCTGTTCTCATTGGACAACCACTCCCCATTTCCCTCAGTGGTCACCACCGTCGACCTCTTTCTATGAATGTCACTATGCTGGGCACCTCATACAAGTGGAACCAGACAGTATTTAGTGACTAGCTTATTCACTTAGCAAAACGTTGTCAGGGTTCATCTGTGTTGTAGTGTGAGGCAAAATTTCTTTCCTTTTTAAGGTGGAATCTTAGTCCATTGAATAGACCACATTTCGTTTATCCAACCTTCTGCCAATGGGCCCTCGGTTTGCTTCCCCCTTTTGGCTGTTACAAATAATTCTGCTAGGAACACTGTGCACAGATATCTTTCTGAGGCCCTGCTTTCGATCTTTGGGTATATATCCAGCACATACGACTTTTCCATTTCCACTAAACTCACGAATTAATAGCTTGCAGGCAGAAATTAACTTCCACTGTTCTACATTAGCCCGGGGTATGTGAGACCCAGCTCCCTACACTAGACCCAGAGATCTTGTGTGTATTGTCATTTTCTTTATTTCTTTCCAACCCCTCTTTGCCACCAGCGTAGTTTCTCCCTGTTTGGCTTCCTGAGAATAGAAACATTCCCAGGGAAGCCACTGACTAATGTAAAGCAGTGTTTTCCAGCCTTTTCAGCCGCCGACATACCTGCCCTGCTGGTTGGGCATGAGTGGTGGATGCGTGTGGACAAGAAGATGTCTTTTGGCTTCAGGCTGTCCCTTTGGGACCATCTGGGTAAAATTCGGGCATTTGGGGAAGCGGCTGCCCAGGCACTAGTCACACACCAATCCTTTAGAAACAGAAAGCAAACAGTAACCATTTTCAACCTATCATTGCCTCCTAACTCTACCTTATTGGGTTACAATTAAAATTTACTACCCAGTTTTATACTCACAGACTTCAACTAAATTATCGAACCATCTGGTGAATAAAGAAAGCCTTGTTGCGGAGTGGCATTTGGGTAGGGGGCAGGGTGGCAACGTTACAAAGGGGAATTGTCTGGATACTCCTCATCGAGACACTTCACTCCCATCTCCCCTGTCATAAAACAGGGACTCGGTGCCAGTGCGCTAGATAGCTGGGGAGCCAGGGAAAGGGATCAGGGGAGAGCAGCCAGGGAGGTAGGAGGGGCAGGTAATAAAATTTAAGTGCGCCCCGCGTGCACCAGGCACTTTACATACATTATCTTACTTAATGTCCATAAAACATTATGACACGTGCACTCATATTCTCATTTTATAGCTGAGGGAATAGAGCCCAGAGGGAACGGAGGTTTCCTGCATGTGGGCCAGTCAGTCTCTGTGAGTCCAAACCCCAGGCTGCTGATGAGACACTGGCTCTCCATGGGTCCCAGGGCCCAGCCACGCCATCCAGAGGCGAGTACAGCCACAGTGGGAAGTCCAGGGAACGTCCTCATGCCGGAAGTGCCATCTGCTCAGCCCTGTGTGCCCTTCTTCCTCTCCAAGTGCCACAGTGCCGACCTGCCCTCGGCCCCCTGCCTTCCATGGCCAGCCTGAGCCACTGGGAGGCCCTGCCCGGGAGGCCGCAGAGAGGACTCGGAGCTGGCGTCCAGTCATGAGCCAGAGTAGAGTAGACCTGGCCCCAGATGGGGAGAATGGAAGTGGCTTGGGAGACTGACAAACTTATCGCTGGAAACCCAGCATAACCTGCAGCCACTGGCCTTGGCACAACCACACTGGCTTCTGTGAGAAGCCGTTAGCAGAAGCTGGTAGGGGCACACTTAGCCTTGCAAGATCATTAGAAGTGCATGCTGTTCCAGGCGCCAACACTGCTCATGGCACATGGTGGGCACCCAGCAATGGCATCCCCATTATTAGGACACGTTGAGGAGATGCTGCTCTGAGGGGTTTGATGGACAACAGGAGTAAAGTGTGTGCACAGTGTGCAAGGGGATGGTCACAGAGCACGGGGAGACCATGGGAGACAGACACCTGCCCGCTGTGCATCTAGGCCCAGGCTGATGACAAGGTGAGGCGGCCATGTCTCCCTGTCCTTCCCTTGTCAGTGCCCATGAGTGGGGGATGGGGGAGCCGGGCAGGAGGCCAGGCGAGGCCGTGGGGAATGAGGGGTTGGCGAGGATGAACTGAAGAGGGCCCAGGCCAGCACCACGCCCCCTCCCCGCCCCCCAGCTCTGGCAAGTTCCTATCTCTCCTGAGAACTTCCTTCCCACAGGGTCTTCCACATACCAGCATCGCAGCAAGGGCCATGACAATGGACTTGACTTGGGAACACACATGAGCTCCCAGCCGCCTGGCCTGTGGGAGCGGTGGATGCTGGCCGGCCTTCTGGGCCTCAAGGAGAGTGTTTCTTACAGAATCAGGGGTGGGCCCCCAGGGCTCCACCACGGAAGGGGGCTTCTGGCTGACCAAAGGCAGGGCCTGGCTGTGACTAGTCTCTGCCTCCAGCCAGCACCTTGCCCTGAGCCCAGACCCAGGAGGCTCCCTCAATGAGCAGTGTGAGTGTTCCAGCTCTGCTTCTGCCACCTTTTTGGTCTTGGGGCAGCCGGGGCTTTCTCTGCCTGTCTCTCTATCCCAGTTTGAAATCTCTAGGGTAAAGCAGGATAAAACTGCTGCCACTCTGCCACTCGACTGTGTGTCAGGCAGACACTGCAGGCTTTTCACACCTCAGGACTTTCCCTGCTCCAGGGAGATGGCAGGATGTGGCGCCGACACACACCCTAGTTCACAGCCTGGCTCTAACTCTCCTCTCTGGGGGATCTCAGGGAAGTCCCTTAGCCTCATGGGGCCCGGGGCAATACGGTCCTGCCCTCATAGGGTGTGGTGTGGGGTCAGTGGATCAGCATGCCATGTTCAGCATAGAGTGAGAGCCATGGGCACATTAGCTGTGACACCTTCGCTTTGTCGATGAAGAAACTGGCTCTATTCGGGGCCCCACAACTGGTAAATGTCTGCGACAGAGTGGACCGCAGCTGACCAACTCTGAAACTGAGCCATACTGTCATGCTACATACATGATGACCCTTCCCAAAGACCTGAGGCATCTGAGCCATGGGCAAGACATGGCCCTCAAGATGTGGCCTGGATGGCGCCTCCGGCTCCCACCTCCTGCACCCCAGCCCTCAAGAGATGCCCTGCTCTGTGCTCTCAGGTGGCTTCCCCTCCAGGGCAGAGGCTGTGCCTTATGTTTCAGTAAACATCTTGTTCTAAAGGGAGTATTTACACAGAGCTACGCACACGTGGTCCAAACAGGGCTCTGTTCCCCTGAGTGAGCACAGCCGTCCAGCCACCATGCAGATCACAGCCAGAATGTGCCCACCCCCCCAAGGATCCCCCATGTCCTTCTGTCACAGCCACCCCCAGAAAAAACATTTCCTGCCACCATGGATTAATTTTATTTATTTTTTAAAAATCTTTATCTAAGCAGTATGATACAGTCTGCCCTCTTTGAGGTCTGACTTTTTTTCATCCAGTATCTGCAAGGTGCATCCTCGAGCTGTGCTATTGCTGCCGGGCATCTGGCTGTGCCCACCCTTGTGCGTCTCACAGCAGCGTCTTCTCTGGCTGGTTCAGCCGCGGGCTCATGTTTGCTGAGTGGATGGTACACCCTTCAACCTTTGCATGGGTCTCCCAGTGAACAGAAGATGCGGGCAGGAAGATAAAACCTTATTCCCCTCCTTCCCCAGGATGGAGCAGGGTCTCAGGGTGCTAGGATCGATGCTAGAGTCAGGGAATGCCTGAGAGACTGTTGGGCTGAATCTTCCCGTTCTTACAGGTGCATGAACTTGCCCCCGCCCCTGAAGTAAAGGACTTGCCTGAGCTTGCACAGGGGGTGGTGTCAGAGCCCATGTGGAACCCGCAGTCCTAGCTGTGAGGCCACTGGCCTGCCAGTAGGACCCGCGGGTCTGGAGATGGGCCAGCATTAGGTCAGAAAAGGCTCAGGCTTGTGAACCATCAGCCAGGGTGCAACCCACAGCAGCCCATGTTCCAGAGTTCCCACCAGGGCTGCGGTGGTGGCAGCTGTGGTGTGGGGTGCCTCCTCAACTCCACAGCACCGTCAGAGAAGAGCTGAGGCCGCTGAACGGGCAGATGCGGGTTCCTACCCCAGTGTCACCATTATTCAGTGATGTTCTCTCTGTGCTTCGCTTGGTTCATCTCTAGAGACAGTGATCCACACGTGGGCTGTGACAGAGGCTAAGTAGCTACCTGGCACAGTGCCTGGCACTAGATAGGGATGTGGCAGCGTTAGCCAGGCTGCAGAGGGTAAGTGGCGGGGTGGGATGGTCAGCAGTGTGCACAGCCCATTCTGTGGGGGCATGACCGGGCCCTGCCAGCCTCGCCCTCACAGGTGGCAGTCAGAACCCTGTCTCCTCTGCAGGTACCCGGCTACCGGCAGGAGCGCGTGGAGAAAGGCCTGAAGCTCTTTGCCCAGCTCATCAACAACAAGGTGTTCCTGCTGTCCTTCATCCGCACGCTCGAGTCTCAGCGCAGCTTCTCCATGCGCGACCGCGGCAACGTGGCCTCGCTCATCATGACGGTGCTGCAGAGCAAGCTGGAGTACGCCACCGACGTGCTGAAGCAGCTGCTGGCTGACCTCATCGACAAGAACCTGGAGAGCAAGAACCACCCCAAGCTGCTGCTTCGGAGGTGAGAGGCAGCCGCGGGTGGCCGGGGCGGCGCAGGTCAGAGGGCCCCTACCCCCACCCACCAGGCCTGAGCTTTGCCTGCCAAGGAGACCAAGGCAGAGCTCCCAGAAGGGGTAGCCAAGTCCTCCAAGGTCAGGGACCGACTTGCTCAAAGGCTGGGTGCATCCCACATTTTCCATAAAGAACCTGCCCATCATGAATCTGGCCACGGCCCAACTGCTCACCTGGTTGTGTTTCATCTGCCCCTATATCTGCTCTCCATCATTCTCCCTCTGCCCTTTTGCTCCCCTGATTTTGCCCTGTTTTACTGGAATTCTTTTCTTGTGGGATCTTTAGAGGCCATTATCCATCCCCTGGCTTTGTCCAAATCAGAACTTGAATTAGGAGCGAGGCCGCTCTGGGAACCCACCCCACCATCTCATGATGGGAAGTTTGAGCCCCGAGCCACTTGCACTGCTATCTATCTGCTTGTGATCACTCTGAGCCACACGTGACTATTTAAATCCAAATTAATTAAAAGTAAATAAAATTAAATATCACCCGAGAGCTATTGGAGATGCAGCCAGCATCTCAGGTCCCTTCCCACACTCGGTGGAGCAGAGTCTGCATTCCGACGAGATACCAAGGTGATCTGAATGCCTAGTAACTTTTGAGAAGTGTGGCCCAGCCCGCGTGTGAATTAAATCCCTTCAACGGCAACTTGCCTGATGCCTCTCAGCAAGGATTTCCTGGCACCTTGGGATTTTAGTTATTAGTATCTTAAGGTGCCTGCGACTTTCAAATCTATGTAGACATGCCTGGATGGGCTGGATTCTCTTTGGAGCTGGCCACACATGCTTAGTGCAAGGTTGAGTATAGTTTGTTTTCTCTAAGTGGATGCAACCAAAAGTAACACTGCTGCTGTGTCTTCACTTCCAAAGTAAAAGAATAAATGGACTTGGGTAGCAGCATGAAAGATGCATGTTAGACTCAAGAAGGAACTTTTTGTAATTGTACATGAAACACCAGAAGGGTTCCCAGAGGGAGTTCCAAAGAGCATGGAAGCCTTTGAAAGGGGACCATTCTGGCACCTCTTGGGAAGAGCGAGGCACAAGCTGCTGACAGGTCTGCGTCCAGCTTAGGTGAAGGGTCAGTCCAATCTGGCCTTTTTGCCAGCACCTCCTGCTCCTGCCAACTTCCTTTCTATCGTCTGCCAAGTTAGAAACTCCCAGGTTTTTTGTTTTTCTTTTCTCACCCAAATGAACTATAAAGTTCTCTAAGGCCCAATGTGATCCCTACGAGCCGCATGTGACTTATAAAATCTAAATTAATTAGAGGTAAATAAAGTGCAAATTCAGCCCCTATGATACTCTGGCCACATTTCAACTGTCCTGTAGGCACATATGCCTGTGGCTACTGGGCAGCAGAGAGAGCGTTTTCATCATCCCAGACAGTGCCCAGCACTGCTAAACTGTTCCCACCAAAACCCTCCAGGAGCCCGGGCCCAGAGCAGCATCTCCCAGCCTCACAGGCAGAGCTTGTCGTATCGCTACGGGGTGTCTAGGAGTCCGTGGACTCGGTATTCTTTAGGATCTCGGGATTTGATCCAAAAACCTTAAGCAGCAAGACCCATGCAGACTTCTTCCCCTGCCTTCCCAGTCCTGGGGTCTGACCAGCTGCTTCTGTCTTTGTCTTCCTCTGCTGGCCTCCTCGGTGGCGGGTGACAGGACTGAGTCAGTGGCCGAGAAGATGTTGACCAATTGGTTCACCTTCCTGCTCTACAAGTTCCTCAAGGTACGCTTGGCTGTGGGGTATCTCTGGCCTTGCGCCCGTTTCCCCACCAGCCTGGGCACCAACCTGCCTCCTCCCCAGCCTGCCCCATTTCCCTCACGGCCCCCAAGTCTATACCTCCAGAGGCCTGGCTGTTAGTACCCCCAAAGAAGCACAGTTCCCCTCGTCACTGAGGGAACGGGCTCCTGACATGTCGGAGGCAGCCTCGCAGTCAGTCCCAGCTCGAGGGACAGGTCCCGCAGGCTGCTTGTCCGGGGCAAGTGGAGATGAGCCTCTGAAAGGTCCCTGCAGGAGCCATTCAGCTAAACACAATTCACCCCCACTTCCCTGCTTTCCCTCTTCCTCTCCCTCCTGCCCCTCCCAGCCCCAGACTGGCTGAGGCCGAGAAGGGTCCCAGGCAGGTACAGCAGCTGCCTTGCTGGCAGATAAGTGACAACGTGCCTGCGATTTGGAAGAGCTGCCCGACATCTAATTACTGACTTGTTTGCTAAGGAGGTCACAGCACTGAGGACTGACCTCGGTCTGAAGATGGGGCTGCAGAGAAAGCGGGTGGAGTGAGATGGGGCAAAGGACCAGAGAAAGGGTAAGAGGCAGGAAGAGAAGAAGAGCTGCAGGACGGTGGCGGCACAGGGCAGATGGGAGAGGACAATGTGGGCAAACGAGCCCAGCGAGACGTACCTCTGAAGGCGGGAGTTGAAAACCCAAGAGCAAAGCAGGTGGGAGCAGGAGGAGAGAAGCGAACCAGAGTTGCAGTCAGCAGCCCTCTGGAGAGGCAGGGGCCGTGGGAGCCTGGCCCTGCTCACCTGTGGTCCAGCGGCCGCCCATCATGGTTGTTCTCCTCACCAGGAGTGTGCCGGGGAACCCCTCTTCTCGCTCTTCTGCGCCATCAAACAGCAGATGGAGAAGGGGCCCATCGATGCCATCACGGGTGAGGCCCGCTACTCCCTGAGTGAGGACAAGCTCATCCGCCAGCAGATCGACTACAAAACCCTGGTAAGCAGCCCCACAGCCTTTCCCCTGGGCCCGGGGCAGCGGGCTTTGGTCTGCCCAGCCCCTGCCCAGCAGAGGGGACGGTGGAAATGCTGAAAAGCTACCTCTCCAGGTTTGCTCACTGCAAGGAGCCAGCCAGCTGCTCCCCCTGTGCCGGTCACCCCAGATGTCCTCTGTGCCACCACTCTGGGGCACCTGGATCGGGGACCAGTAGCTCAGACACACCTGAGCAACACTCCAGCAAAAGTCTAGTGGGCTCCCAGGCCAGTGCCCTGAACCGTGGGGTCCTGAGCCCCTGCCAGCTGCTGTCTGACTGACCCCCCTGAAGGTACGCCTTCTTTCTCACCCATCCTCCCAGCGAGGAGAGTGGACACCTCCACGCAGAGAGCAGGTGGGGGCACGAAGGAGCGGAACCCAGGAAGAGTTCCTCGTGGTTCTGAGGCCCACCTGTGCCCACTGGTTCAAGTCAAATCCAATGTGCCCCAAGCTGTGGAACGTGAGGCCAGGAGAGCCTAGTGGTGGAGGCGTTGTCCAGGGAAGGTGGGGATGCCCTCCGTGGAGGTTAGACCTCACCTCCTGACAGAGACCTCGGAGACAGCAAAGCTCAGCTTGTAGGAGCCCGGGGCTTGGAAACAGGCAGACCCGGCTTGGAGCCCTGACTCCGCTTCCGACTAGCAGGGTGGTTTGGGTTCATCTTAGTCTCAATCTCTCCAAGCCTGTGTTTCTTTATCTGAAAAAAATGGGGATAATACTAGACCCTGCTAAAGCAGAGATGACAGTAGTATGCAGCCGTGAAATTGTGCAGAAGATGGAATGGGACAGGACAGGGAGGCACTGAGCCCGGGGCAAGCGCTCCCTGCCCCCTTGCCTCGCTGCCACCAAGCCTGACCGCTGGTTGCCCGCTCCCTCCAGGCCAGGGAGCCATCTCTCAGGCATTTTAGGAAAGAGTTGTGATCTCCCACCAGGCCTTCCATAGGGAAGGGGGCAGGAAGTGGAAAGGGACTGAGAAAATAAGAAAAATGTCGAGTGCTGGGGGGTGATGCTCACGGGGTGACCCAGAAGGAAAGACAGAGAACAGAAGATTTAACATGCACTGTGGGGGGATGGGGCACCTGGCAGCCAGGCTGGACATGGCAGAGCCAGACGTGAGGGTAGGTGAGCCAGGGAGAGTCCCAGACACAGAGGCCAGCTGGGGGGACTGTTCCTGCTGCTCTGAACGAAGCCGTCCCCGCTGTCTGAGAGTGATGTGGCCATGATGCACCTGTTACTCCATCTTCAGAGGCCCTGGGAAGCCCAACAGCATCCCACAGACTCGCCAGGATTGGCTCAGTTGCTAAGCTTTTAGTGTGGGGCCAGGGCCCCTGCTTCCTGCAGGCCTGGCCTGCTCTGGAGGAGAGCGTTAGAGGCTCTTATTAAAATGGGGAAGGGGGAAAATCCTTCCAAAAACAGAGACTTGAAGAGACTTCTTAATGAGCCGGAACTACTATTGAAACATCTCTGCTGGATCTCTCCCCCTTCACTCCCTTCCTTCCCCATCTCATCAGTGGCTCCCCAATATTGCATCAAACACAATGAGCTGTAAGAATGCTCTGTGCCCAAACCACAGGGTCCTCTATTCCATAGGTTAAGGTGTCGTTAGCACAGCTGGCTCAGGCTCGCTTACACAGCACGTGGGGAAGTTGGAGGGGGCCAGGGAAGAGCATCCAGGAAGGTGGAAACGCTGGGAAGAGGCTCTGTGAGGATTGGGGGAAGAAATTACAATTGTTTTGCCCAGAGAAGAAATTTGGCTGCAGGGAGACTTAACAACCACCTTTAGGCCTGTGAATGGAAACTCCCACATACAGAAGTGGGAGTAGCCCCAAGGCTGGTGAGGATCAGAAAGGAAGAAAGTGTTAGACAGCAGCACACAGGGCTGACTGAGTCTCCAAGAGAAAGGAGTCACAAGAAGACAGGAGGTCATGGGATTCGGCAGTGGCTGGGGGAGCCCAGGGTGCTTTGGGCCAACTGATGGTGACCTTGTTCTTGGCAGAAGGGATAACCACAAAGAATGAGACAGCTGCTGACTGGCTTGGGGACATATTGCTTTATAGAAGCTGCCCCTCTTCAGTGCTGAGTGATTAATTGTATTGATACTAGAACTTAGACTAGGGCCCTGCTGCTGGGAGTGCCCATCTGCATTACCTGGGAGCCTGCTAGATGCACATCCAAGAGCCTGCTAGATGCTCATCCAAGAGCCTGCTAGATGCTCACCCAAGAGCCTGCTACAATGCAGAGTTTCAAACCCCATTCTAGACCTCCTGAATCAGAGTCTGCATTTTAACAAAAACCCTCACCCAGCAGGAAAAAAAAACACCAGTAAGTTTGCTCAGAAACTAGCCAAGGGTCATGGGAGCGGCAGTGGGAAGGAAACTTCTGGCTGGAGCTGTGGCTTGGCCGGTGGCTGGGAATCCTGTCCCTCAGTGGGGCCACTGCTGCTTCTCTGCCTGCCCTGAGCTCCATGGAGTTCTCCCAGGGCCCCCCTGAACCCTGGGCAAGTGGAAACATCAGGAGATCATGCCCAGGCGACAGCCTCTCCTCTCGGTCTCTTGGCGGAGGAGGCCCAGAACAGGTTGCATCGCTGCCCTGCCCGGGGCAGGCCCGGAACCCAGGACAGCAGGGAGGCCAGGGCACAGAGCAGCAGGCTGTGCTTGGCTGCTGAGGGGGCAGGGAGGGTCCAGAGGCTTTTAAAGGACAGAGCGGCTGGCGAGGGCACTCAGAGCAACACATGGTTCAGAGTTCCTTCCACCATTGTTCTCCGTTTAGGACATTTTGAGAATGAGAGTTTTGGTTTTACAGATTTAGGAGATTTTTTTTTCTTCTTCTTAATGGAATAAGCATGTTCCTATTTGAGCTCATAGCAATCTGGTTGCTAATGAAAGGCAGGCATCCAGGGGCCAGGGTTCTGATTGCCACCACATGGAGTGAGGGTGAGAGGGTGAGGGGGGAAGGCCGTTGTCTGAGTCTGCAAACCAGACGTGCAATTGGGAAATGGTTGGGGTGGGGGCTGCGGTGAGAATTCAGAAGAGGAGAAGAACAGGGGCTCGGGCAGCAGGGTTGGAGGGAGGGTACAGGTGCCCAGAGTGGCATGGCCACTGGACAGCCCCTGTGCCCCACAGCATGCGCCCGCTCCACTGTGGTCCCCCAGGACCTCCACAGCCTCAGCCATGCAGAGCGAGCCTCTGGAAATAGCCAGGGAAGAAAGGCCTTTGGAAACATCCCAGATGTTTTTAAAGGAAAAGATACAGTTTGGTGCTTTAAGCAGAGTCTTCGCTTTTCTGAGTCGTTCCAAAAGGAGAGGTTGAGGTCCTGAGCCAGGGTAGCCTCTTCCCCTCACACAAGGTTTCAGCGGTCTCGGGTGGCCTGAGCCTGAAATGTTTTATGAGCCCCAAACCCTCATAAACCCGAAGCTTATGAAAACTTGAGAGAAAGGCACCAGATCCACATTAGTATGAGTGTGAGAGGGAGGACAAGGAAGACAGGCTGACACACACAGATGGGGGGTTGGGGGCAGGTTCAGTGGTGGGTGAGAGTCTGGGTGTGCACTTGAGAAGGTACCTCTGCATGTGTGTGTGTGTGTGTGTGTGTGTAGAGTGCACGCATGCATGCATTAGTGTCCAATCTCATGCAGTTTTCCCCTCACTGCCTCCTTCTACTTGGACATGGTTCTCTCTGGAAAAAAATCAGGATTGTTCAGTGTGCAGCCCTACTCCTGCAATGACCCTGAAGTCACAGCACCTTCCTGCTGCTCGTAGGACTAGAAGGGCAGAGGGCTTGGTGGGAACACAGTTGGGCCGGGCTCTCCCCATCCCCTTCCGGTCCAGCCCGCAGAGGGGGAGCTGGTCAGGACAGGGGCCCGGGATGCTGCAGGGACCCTCCAAGCTCTTTCTGCTGCCCACCCCACGTGGTTCTCTCCCCCTCCCCCAGGTCCTGAGCTGTGTCAACCCAGACAACGCCAACAGCCCTGAGGTCCCAGTGAAGATCCTCAACTGTGACACCATCACTCAGGTCAAGGAGAAGATTCTGGATGCCATCTTCAAAAACGTGCCCTGCTCCCACCGGCCCAAGGCTGCAGATATGGACCTGGGTGAGTGGCGGCCCACCCAGGGCTGTCCTGTGAGCGGTTGGAACACCTCTTACTCGATGGTGGAGCCAGGGTTCAAGGAGAAGGCACGCATGGCCCCTGGGGGCCCAGGGGGTATCTCCTTCGTGGCCACTTAGTGAGCAATAAGCAGAGAAGGGGTGCAGTCTGCTGCGGTCTGACAGCCCGGGGGTCTTTTGAGTAGCTGAGGGTGGGCGTGGAGGTATCCTATCTGCAGTGGGGAGGTTTTAGTCCGAGTCTGTGTGGTTCAAGGTCTTGCCACTGCCTTTGTTGTGCCCCCAGGCTCTGCCCTTCCCTCTGTTCCATGCCTGTGCTTTTTGCTGACTACCC